AGCATGTATCTTATTAAAGAATCTCTTATGTGATTCAGGGCGAAGGACACTAAATTCTTTTTTTTTCCTAGATGAAAAAAGCAGAGTTCGTTTAAAGTGGATTAAATTCGCAAGCCAATTGCAATCAGCTTTCCAACTAGCTTTAATCATTTGTTGATTTATTTACTCCCTAGATGGGACCTATCTCCAAATACTAATGCTGATAGCAAGATAGCAGAAAAATAGTACAAATTTCCTTCAATGATAATTTATAATGAGGCCATTGAGTATATCTTTTATGTAACTGGAACCCATTGTCACGGACCCGAACCCATTTTCTTTTCCAAGTGAAATCCCTTAGTATATGAAAGAAAAGTGCTTTTGTTGTTGTGGACAATTCATAAGTTGGAGAAGGTTTTTTACTAATAAATCGATATTCAAAATCATTCAATTCAGTATTTGTTTTAGGGTCCAGTTCAGCCCTGCCTTACGTAAGATGTAACACAACGAACACTGTTTCAATAATCAAAATTCGAGAAGAATTAAATAAAATACATCTCTGTACAAGAATTTAACAAGTCAAACTGGAAGAACCATATTCTTGCCTTGATTCGTCAAAATCTGTCTGTCCTTTAGTCACATTTCCCGTTTGTCGCAGCAACTCAATGAAGGTATTAAACACATCCATCTGCAGCTTAAAAATATTAGTTAGTCAACCAAGCGGTTGTATTATAAAGGGTTTAGTTGTGTATTCAGTCATACCTTGACATTTTCTTCCCTTTCTTTAAACCTATCAATCAACTTTGGGCAAGCCTGAGAATGAATATATTTAAAAGCCATGTTCTTCTATCATTAAAATTTAGTCAATTGCATAAAAAAGAAACCTATTCTCCAACATCTCAATATCTTATATAAGTAGTTCCATAACAACATTAGAAACTGAAACTCTAGCATTCATAATATTCCAGGAAGGCACCACAGTAAGGATCATATAGTCACATAAACTTCCCAATTAGACAACTTTATAAACAAATTCATTTTTACAACAATTTTAAATTTACCAGAAAACAAATAACTTCGACATTTTAAAAAAGTTTCAGAAAGTAAATCAGAAGTGTTCGAATTGCTTATATAGATAGTGCTTGAAAGAAGGTACGAGCAATTTTCTTTAATAAAATAATAACAAGCATCTAGTGATACATTTCAGGAGTTTGACAGAGAATTAGAACACTAAGTCTAATGAAGATTTATAGGACTTAATGGTCCTTAGACATGTAACTGATACTGTAATAAATTTCCACAATATCCAGTAGGCAAATGGTCCAGATTCACTAAAGCCATGTTCAAAACTCTTATACAATGAATACCTCTTCGTATAGCCTTGATAGCAACTCCGGGCGGGTAACAATCAAGGCTGCTAAGCATTTGGCAGCAGCTCTGCGGACCTTCCAGCTCGCGTCTTCGTCATCAGTGTATTCATTAGCACTCTCGCTACAGATCCATGAAGATAACACATTATTTCAAATTCTTACCATAAATAACTAAGAATTGCAAATAAGTGCATTACATACTCATCCTCCTCCACCACATAACTCTCATCATCTGTATCTTCCTCCATGTTATCAGTAAAATTAGGATCATAGCTAAGATATTCCAAAGTAAGATGTAAGATGTCGTTACAATAGGGAGAAATATCCCTGGAACACCGCAGCAGAAAGCTCTCAAGAGCCTACAATAGAAAAAGATTCAATAGTCATTCTAACATAACTTCAATAGTAAAAGGATATGTAAAAAATTATATACCTGCAAACTATACTCACGAAGCTCTTCATCATTCTCCGATGCATGTGTACAGTAGCTAATTAATATTGGAACAGTATCTCCAAGATGGGCACCAAAACGATAGCCAACAGCACGACTTACAAACCAAAGATTCATGGGTTATTCATGGACATATACAAACATTATTAAAGAAATCAAATTACAATTACATACCTTAAAGCCCCAATCATCTGAATGTTTGTGCGTGTAATATCTGGTTTTATGGCCTTATTTCTCAAAAGCCGAACAACTTCAACTGTAGCTTTTGCCAGTAAATCATCTGACAAGCTTGAAGCAAGGGACGCTGAAGGCCGAGTGTTAAATTTAATTAGATTTATAGGAAATATCATGGCTACCCGATCAAGATATACAAAATATAGAAAGACTAATCTAAGAAGCACAGATACTCATAAACTCATTAGATACTCGTATCCAATACGTATCCAAGCTCGAGAACCCTCCGATATGCACTAGATACATGTTCTCTAATTATTTTATATATTTTTATATTTCTTAATTTTCGATACGTATAGGACAAGTATTTTTTTATTATTTTATATTTTATATTTATTTTTGATACCTATCAAATATTTTTTTTAAATTATTTTAATAACTTGTTGAATATTAATAACATTTATTGAAAATACATTATTAGTTTATCAAGAAAATTAGATCTTTATTCAAAAATAGAATTTAAAATGTGGGTCATTAACAGAGACTCATTTAATACTCTTGAAGGTGTTGAACTGTTTAAGGTTGCTAATTTATTATTAAATGAGTCAGAGTTTGAGAATATTAATTTTAAGGATAATAAAGAAGCTGATGTCGATGATGTAGAAGTAAATGAAGTTTGGACAATTAAGGATTAAGATAAAATGCTCTAGCATTTTATTTTATTTTTATTATTATGCTTCTATATTAATGAAATTATATTGAATTTTATAACACATAATATCCGCATATCCTAAATTATTTTAAAAAGTTGTATCATATTCAAATTACGTATCCATATCCATGCTTCTTAGAAACTAATACACCATTTAAAAAGATTTGCACATGCAGTTGATATTACCTACACATGAAACAGCCTTCTTCCTGACACTGGCATGATTGGAACTCAGCTGGGGCAACAATGCACCTAATAATACCTCGTGATCTGATGCCATTAAATTTCCATATTTATGAAGAACATCACACAATATATCGAGGCATTCGCACTTGATTTCAGTGGACATTCCCTAAAAAAGGAAAGATTGGTTGAAATAAGTAATAAACTTCTAAGAGCATAAAAAAAATTTGCAATTAGTTATATTGCTACCAACTCCCCGAAAAAATAATAATAATAAAAAATTAACAGGAAAAAGACTTAGCCCTTGTTTGGTTTAAATAAAAATTATTTTTTTAGCAGATTTTGATAAAAGTTGATGATTGTGCGGTTGAAAAGTTAATAATTGAGGATCCCATGAAATGTGTGATTGAAATTAAGTTAGAGGAAAATGACTTTTTAAAAATGGAGGCCAAAGAGGGGCTTAGTATATTGTTGTAGTAATTATTTATTTTCATGCTAATGCTCGTATTACAAAATATGAACACTGAACACAGTGGGATTCCTGATTTATATTTGCCGGACCTAGGGACTGACAATCTTTGAATTCTCCAATACACCATTTCTTTTCTGAACATCCTCAAGCATCATGATAGAGCAGGTATTATTTCATGTCAAATGAAGAAAGCCTCAAACGCTTGTTTCACATCCAATAAATAGAAGACCATAAAACCAACATGAGAGCTCCAACAAAGAAGTTTCAAGGATTTTAAAAATAAAAGCTCATTGCAAATAATGTTTGATCAGCTTTAAAGCCAATTCAGAGAGCAAGAGTTTCTAATGAAGTGGCCCCTTGCTAGCACCATTGGAGCACTCGTGAAAATCATATGTCACAGAGAGAGAAAAGTCGGATTGTGTTGGCATCGTGTACCTCTGCAGTCAAGGATGTTAACAAATTATTATTCCACTTCATTCATGGTTAACAACACGTCATTCACCCATGCATGCCTAGTTTGTGAAAGAGATCAATTGCTCTTGTTTTTAAAGATGCTTTATGATGCGGATGTCATCTTTACATATTTTAAAAGAGCAAAACTTTGCTCAAATGCATTGAGTCAATTCAGAGAATGTAAGTTTACTTAGAAAGATTTGACAATTAATCAACGATCATCGTAAACCAACAAATCAGCATCATCTATCAAACACAGTAAAGATTCTCATGTGGCCATTCTCCATTTCAAAGGGATGTGGAGATAACATCACTCCTCTGGAATCTCAAACCATCTACCATGTGCTAATGTTAAACAATAATTCAGTTGTAAGAGAACCATCATCAGATAATTCTATTACCCTTGGACGATACTAATGAAGCTGAATGGTATATAGTAACTCACCTGGGAAGTTATTCCTCTTATCAACTTCGGAGATATGGATACAAGTATAGATTGTGCAATGGATGAGGTAGGAACTTCAGAAACAATTGTCTTCAAAGCAATACTTGAAATGTCACGATGTTGTTCTTTCCCATTCAGTAATTTATCACAAAGCTTATTAGCCATCTCAAGAATCTGCTGCTCATGAATTTTCTTCACCAATGGAGCAAGACTAAATATCACATCAAAGCAAAATAAAAAATAATAATAAGAATGCAGCTGCAGATATAAAATCTTCTGGAGTCCTACTTTAGCAATTTGTAACAATAAAATCCCAAATCAAAGAAATAAAGCAACCATTATCAAAATAAAAGACGATAATATTTTCTAAATTTTTTGCCAATGTAAATAGACTTCTTGAACACGATTTATAAGCTTTTTCAATCACAAATTGGCTCACATGGACAAAGCAACATTCGTATTTCAGGGTCGAGTGAAGCAACTAATCAGGATGGAAAATAAATTTACATTTAACACATTAAATTCCACAATAGTCAAAAGAAACGGAAGCTGAATTTCATGTTACCCAAAAAGGAGATTCTAGTACCCCATATAAAAACCCAATTGAAGATCTGCCTCAAAGTAAAGCATGCAAGAATGCCTAAAGGCACTGATTATGGCAATTTTAAGAAGTTTACACCTCAATTGTGTGAGGCGCACACCTCACAGCACCGCCTCAAGGCTTGTGGCCCACAAAACATAACACTTTTTATTGACACACTTTGAGAATAGCCCAAACTGCCAGCTAAAACATAAAAAAATTGTATTCCTCACAAAACCAATTTGGAAATAGTCTATTGCCACATGGACTAAAATAATAGTTTCTTTATACTGTTGAATTTTGTTTATGATGCATTATGAGCTTATTTTCCAATTCAATATTTTTTATTTTTTTTGACATTTTTTTGGCTGTGAGGTTATGCCTTGAGGCCTATGCTCACCTCATGAAGAAAAAATACCCATGTACCCGATTGTGCCTATTTAAACATTATTTTAAATCTGAAGATTCCAATACTAGGACTCATTGCCCAAAACTACAATCTTAGATTTCAAATAAGATGAAATATAAATATAGGCAACACAATTGTAAAATCATGAAAAACAGTCGGTGAACACAAAATGTTAGCATGAATAAAATACATGTTTGCACAAGGGATATAGAAAAAAAGGACCCAACAACTCATCCTAAAGGAAGGGATAGGCGCAAAGCAGGAAGAAACAAATTATGCCCTTGTTTGAGACCCATTATTCAAAAACTCATTTTTTCTCAAACTCATTTTCAACCACACATTCTCCCAATAAAATAATTTGCACGTAAAACTAAACTTTTCCTTTTTAATCACGCATCTCCAAAAAAATCACAATTACAAAATCCATTTTTTTAGAAAATGGGGCTCAAACAAGGGCTAAATGGGAAAATAGCGATGAATATCTAAATCTTAGAATAAGGAACTACATCAATCAGTAACATAATTCAAGAAAAAACAATCATGTATCTAAATAAAACAAGAGATGTGAACATCACTAGAATTTATCTTTGCACCGACCATTTTACAGCTAATCCAGAAACATCGCCTGCAGCATCATCAAGTTGCTGGATAACAACATTAGACAACTTTACTTCAAGGTCAACATCAAGTTTGAAGCCCTCTCTGTTTAATTCATTAAGCAAATCAGAAGTTGCCATGTATCTATAATCCTTGTCTTTCCCTGTCATCTGCATTGTATACACAAATTAATTGAAAATCACAAGTCTGTTAAAAGGAAAAATAAGACAGAATATGCAGCACCCATGGCTACCTTTTCAAGTATGCCTGTTAAGGTTAAATTCGCCATCTATGCAGAACTCTTAAAGGATCTTTCAGCTTACAGGATACCAGCAGAACCAAACAGTTTCTCTACTAAAGGAAGGACAAAGTATATGTTAGCATATCAATTAGCAACTTGGTAATAATTCTGATAATGTAGAAAGAGCACAGAATTAATTTATTATTAAGGGTAAAAAGAATTCAATCAGAAATTAAACTTGTTAGCACGTTGCATAACAAAAATAATAATGATGATGAAATATGTTCACCATTGGACAAAGTGAATTTAGTAACAGCTACAAGGAAACAAAGGTAAATTATTACACACTTAGCAAAAAAGATGGAAAAAGAAAAGGCTAACATTAAGGGCTAGGAATTTAATATCAAAGCCTTACATAAAATAAATATATTAAAGCACAGCCAAGTTGATTCTTGGTTCAGAGGAAGATATTTGAAATTTAAAATTGAAATTAAAGAAAAATAAACACAAATACGATGTTGCTTCTGAAGCCAAATCTAACATGTTACCAAGATGAAGGATCCTAGAAAGTGTAGAAATGACAAAATATGACTATTTTAACGTAAAAGGTAAAACATATTAAACTAAAAATTAAAACAATTTTATAGATCACGAATAGCAGTGCCTTTAAAAATGAAATAGTAACGCCAAATCATGAAAAGAAAGTCAACATGCCAGTTTACACATAATTGAAAAGAATAAAAGCAACATAAAATCATTTTGGGCATCATATATGCACACTATCCATTTCGAAATCCATGATTCAAAAATACAAAAGAAAGAATTGCCTAATCTATATATCATGAAATACGAAATCACGAAGAGTCAACAAGAAAAAGAAGATGCATATAGAAAGGCCTATAAAAATTAGGATTTCAAGAACGCCCCGAGAATACATGCTAACAAAAAACTATAAATAACATTGTACCAAAAGAAAACCGTAACTAGATTCCCTACAGAAAACCCGATAGTATCACACCTGTATATCCTCAATGCAATTGTTAATTTTCACAGCGTAAATCGAAGTAGGGAGTAGAGAGCGAGCTTACTTTTTGGGTGTTTATACTATCACATAGAATCGCTTAGTATGAGAGATTGCCTATGCGGATTTATTATATATTATACGATTAATCAATCGATTGTTTAGTGCTTTTTGCTTAGCTAAAACCCTAACGCCAGCCAGAGTGATGGTGAAAGAGTGAAGAGTGTCTGTGTAAGAGAGGGGTGGGGCGATTGTTTTTTCCTTTTTCTTTTTTCTTTTTCTTCTTTTAGGTTGCTAATTCCACGCCTCAGAGAAGGGGGGCTGAGCAATTTGGGCCCTCGGCCTATAAAAGTACAGCAGTTGCTTGCCCACGTCGACTTTGGGTTGGCCTGTTTAAATTTATTGAAGCTTGCTACAGATCCGGCCTGGGGACGGGCCTAAAAACAGGGGGCCCACCTCAGCCCTTTATTTCAATTGATTTCACTTGAGATGTGCCACTTCAGCCCCCTATTTTTTGGTCTGGACAAGGAGTATTTTTGAAATTTATTTTAGTACGTAACTACAAATACTTCAAATTGCATTTTCAAAACTAAAGAACTTGTAAATTTTTTAAAACTTGATTCACAATTTGTGATCCCGGATAAAAGTTTGATCGCATTTTGTAACTTATGATAATAGTTTGTGATCAATAATTTAATTAATCAAATCATGGTCACAAGTCACACACAATTTATGGTCGCAGTCATAATAACAAATCATTCAAAGTCACAATCACAAAAATAAAATTTGTGTGTTCGCAATTACAAATTTAGTCATAAATCACATATTATTTATTAATCACAAATTATCAATTTTATTGATCACAATTACTCAAATAATTGATCACAACTGCTCTTCGTCCCACTCCACTAGTCCACCGCCATCAACATCACTCAAATACAACTACCACTTACTAGGCTTGGATATCAAGTGAGTTAGTATGAGTATTTCAATAATGTGAACTACTCATTATATTTTCACGTATTTCGTAAATTTTCCATTCGAGTCATTGTAAACATTAGAACCAAAACTCAAATCCAAACATCGGTTCCAATTCGGGTTCCTTTTTACCCATAACATTTTCAAATATATTTAATAAACATTTTCCATATAGGCCTTTTCGATACATGTACCTAACACGTTGCGCTACTCGATAATATTTATGCAATGAAGAAAATCTAGTTAAGAAATATTCAAGAAGTTAAGATATCCAACTACATGACTCAAACTAGTCAAAACTAAAAATCACGAAAAAAAAATGAGAATTAAAACATCAAATTAAATTACAATTTGAGATGAAATATTTTTTCTTAAAAAAATTTATTTGACCCATAAATGAGGCATTCTAGAGCCTATAATTTAATTATGGGTAATGCTTAAAATTTTCTACTTTTAAACTCGCAAAAAAAATATTAAATGTTGTTATAAAAAAGGGGAAAAAATAAGAGAACGGAGAGAAATCAATAGACTTGCGTGTTTTATCAATAATCAAAGCCCTATATTTACAGGGCAGAATCATGGATAATAGGGATGAATTTTGGGACTGTGTGGGTATAATTGTCATTCACCAGTAAACTCTAATAAACTTTTATAAAATATCCGTCTCGTTAAAATCTTGTTTGATAAAAATTTGATGAAAAAAATCAAATAAAAGAAAATAGTACAGTTATTTTAGAGTATTAAAAATAAATGCTGCATCATTAAAACCTTATTAGGAAAACTCAGTGGGATAAAACATATACGAAGGAAAAATGGTACAATTACTCCCCCTGATGTTGATCACTGAAAATCTTTAAGTCGACGCATTTCAATCTCATGAACTAATTTCTTGAATGTAGATTTGGCAGTGCTTTTGTAAATAAATCGGCTACATTGTCACTTGAGCGAATTTGTTGAATATTGATGTCGCCATTCTTTTGAAACTCAAGTGTATGAAAGAATTCTGAAGAAATATGGTTCGTCCCGTCACCTTTGATGTAACCTCCTCTGAGTTATGCAATACAAACTTAACTGTCTTCATACAAAATTTTTTGCTTATCTTTTGTTGAAGTTAACATGCATAATGTTTGGATATGATGGGTCATGTTTCTCGACCATACACATTCTTGGCTTGCCTTTATGGATTGTAATAATTTCAGAATGATTTGAAAATGTTGATGTCAATGATTGCTTCACGAATCTCCATGATATTTGAGATGTCGATGTAAACACATATCTTGTTTGTTTTTTAGCTTTATATGAGTCAGATAGATAACATGCATCTGCATATCTCACTAAAACGAATCTCGAGTTTTGAGAATAAAATAATCTCAAATCAATAATACCCAAAAAATATATGTAACACCATTCTAAAGTCTTTGAACTGGTATAGAGTTATATCTTGCAATGAGATTCACAGAAAAAACTATGTCAGGTTGAGTGCAGTTTTGCAAAATAAATTAGTGCTCCAATTGCATTAAAATATGATACTTCAAAACCAATAACCATTTCTCCATCCTCAAGTGAACAAAATGAATCAAGTGATCAAACAACCATAAGTGATGCCAATGGATGCGTATTATCCATATAAAAACGTTTTAAAACTTTTTCCGTATACGTAGATTGGTGAACCAATATTTCATCTGAAATCCAAGAAAAAATTTGGTTTTTTCCCAAATCCTTCGTCTCAAATTCAATTTTCAAAAAATCAACAGTTTTGTTGAGCTCTTCAGAAGTTTCATTTAAATTTAAATTATCAGCATAAACTGCCACAATTACAAATTCAATATTTGTTTTCTTTATTAAAACATATGAGCAGGCATTGTCATTTTTATAATCTCCATTTAACAAATATTTGCTAAGACGATTATACCACATGCATCTCAATTGTTTTAATCCATATAATGATTTTTACAATTTAATTGAGAATATAGTTCTCAGACATGTATCGTTTGTTCCTGGCATCTTAAATCTTTCAGGAACTTTCATATATATGTCACTATCAAGTGAACCATACAAATATATAATTACTACATCCATAAGGCACATATCAAGCTTTCGTGACATAGTCAAATTAATTAAGAATCTAAAAATGATAGTGTCCATTACGGGAGAATATGTTTTCTCATAATAAATTCCTAATCTTTGTGAGAAATCTTGACCTACTAGTTGGGCTTTGTACCTGTAATTTCATTGTTTTCATTTCTCTTTTGTACAAAAACTCATTTGTATCTCATAGGGATTACATTTTTAGGTGTTTGAACTACATGTCCAAACACTTTTTGTTTCTCTAAGGAATTCAATTCTGCCTGTACGGCTTTTTTTCCATTTTGGTCAATTATTTCTATTTTGACAATTTTTAACTGATTGTGGTTCACGATCTTCATTTTGCATAATATCAAGAGCCACATTAAAGGTGAAAATATTGTCTATGATAATATTATTCCCTTCTCATAATTTATGAAATAAAATATAATTTATTGAAATCTCATTATTTTCCAACACTTATTGTTATTCAGGAACCATATATTTAATATTTGATTGATCAATTTTTTTTAATTTTAATTCTTCCGAAGTTTTGGTTGATTTTTTCTCCTATACCTTTTTTTCGAGGTACTGAGTCTTTTGAACCAACTGGTCAATCACGCATCTGGCGTATGTGAGATTTATTTGCTAAAGCAGATTATTCTATAGGGATATCAATTTTTGTTGGAATATTTTCTGCTGGTATGTATAATTTCGTCACTTTTCTTGTGTCAACAAATGCATCAAGTAATTGATTTGCAACATTTTGCAAATGAATAATTTTTTCAACATCTTGCTCATATTGATTGCTGCGGGGATCAAAGTGAAATAGAGTTGTTTCATTCCAAGTAATTTTACATTTTTTTCAGGATGTAATTTTTCCCCTCCCAAATTT